GCTGATTAGCAAGCATTCTTCTCTTACATATGCTTGCCGTACCTGAGCTTCTCTGGGAGCCTTTCGCAATGGGCCCGTGAGAAATTTAGGGCGCTTATCGATCTACTTGTAAAAGTGAATCCGGCTAATTGGATAGTACAGTTATATCAATGACAACGAGTGAGCCCGATGGTGTATAAGTCTAAGCTCCTAGGAGATATGCTCCTCATCTTCTCAAGAGAAAGCGTGATAGATCCCGTCTCCACTTTTACCGTATTGTTGGTCGTTCCTAGGATCACCAGACACAGAGGGTAAAAAGTCCGTGAATGATAAAGACCGTCAGCCCATTATCAATTCCCCGCTCTAACATTCCAATCGGCAAGTAGCAAAGTTTTGTTCGCAGTTGTCTCTTGGTCAATTATAATCTTGAAAGTCCCTGGGATATTCGTCTCCCACCACCCACAGGTTCTATCGTAGAATATGTGTTGAAGCGCCTAGGCCGTCAGAGATATATTTTTCGTGGTGGACGCAACGGGTGCTAATATAGATACGAGGTTTTGGACTTAGGTTAGGCTAGACTTCGGGTACAGGAAGGCTGCCTACATATTTAAGGAAAGCCGCAACGATGCGCCCATATTGGTAGCCACCGCTCTACAGCCCATTAAAACCTTGTCCTCTAGCCTTAGCCCACCGCCCCCCGGGAATCCCATTTTCCCGTCGGCCGGTAAAACGGTCTGAATCTCGAACGGCCCGACCAAGCGTTGAGGCACTTCAACCTAGACGTCGGTCAGGAATACGGTGCAGGCACATGATCAACTGTACTTGATATGCCGCAGAAATCAAGTCTAGAGAAACAGCCTTGGAACACAACCACGAGGAAATCTATTATACCCTAGGAGCGCCTACTAAGATCGTATCAAAATATAAATATATCCTCGGGAATAAATGCATAATTTCAGTCTTGCATCGCAACATAAATGACAGCCTCCACATTGCTTCTAAAGGATATGGGAAAGCACTAGAGTCGACGATACATCCATTGACACCAACCGGCGAATTTCACATAGCGTTTAATGGCTCTTGCCATTCTTGTAGGTGCCAGAGTGCTGGGCCTTCTTGCACCAGCCATAGTGGTTACCGTTGTCGCCCTCGGACTCAACGTCGCAGGTAGGGGTCGGGCTGGCGGCCGAGCTGGCGGAGGCGGACGAAGGCTGGGAGGTAGTCGAAGAAGCATGGCTAGTCGAGGGAGTGGACGTGACCGGGGTGGTCGAGTAGGTAGAGAGTGAGGTAGGGAGAGTGTGAGGGTTCTCACCCTCCTGGACAGGGAAGGCGAGGACAGAGCCGATAATGGCCAGAGTGGCGAGGAAGTACTTCATCTTGACGGAGGCTGTTTTACTTGCAACGGTATAGCAATTGAGAGTTAAGCAAACGAGATTGGTGGCTGATCAGGTCGTCTGGAGGAAGAGATGGATATTTATAGCTGTCGATGCTTAAGGAATTCGGAGCAGACGCATCCGCTTCGTTGCGATGGATAATGAGAGGCGATGCTGGAAAACCGTTGTCATAGCGCATTGCGATCGACCAACGCGACTAAATGCGGGTCTCGGTCGCGCTACAAGTGGCAGAAACGTGAATTGTGGGGCGGAATCGGGCTATTGTTGACGCAAGGTGATCCACATATTATCCTTAATTCTATACGGGTGTTGATCCCTTCCACGTTCCTGTCACGAATGCTTCCAAAATAGACTTTGTCCGCGGCATAGCCGATGGTGTGATTGGCGCGAATGCCGCTATCCCGGACTACGAAGCGGGACAGGGACACAATACACCCCTGTCTATCCTAAAGCCAATATCCCGTGTGTCTGAGCCATTGTGGACTGTCGAGCTTGGTTGGACGCCATCTGGACCCCCGTGGCGTAGGTCGGCCCTTTCAGACGTCTAAAAGCTTCTGTCGATCCAGGTACACCTGGACGCTCTATGCGGACGCTACACTCCCACGGACAAGAGCCGTCAGGTCATAGGTCTGTCAACTGGCGTCTCGTACGATTTCAAGGCCCGTGTAGTAAGTCTCGGAACTAATGACGCATGATGTATCATGGCACCGTTTATAAATTGGTGCTACTACAGTACATAACGAGCATAACTTACGTATGTGCCCCTTTACGGAAGCAGCAACTGAACTGTGTCTAACAGATGGATTACGGGCTTGCATTTGTTGGTGAATATTCTGAGTAAGGGACTTCTTAACGCTTGTAGTTACATGATCCAATGTCTGAATGTACCATCACGAACAGACATTAACAAGGCCCATTCGTAGGGCAAGTGGCTTCATATTGGGACGTGGAGTTTGAAGAATACCTGGGCAATAGACTGCCGGTGAAGGATTCTTTGGATACTGCCCCTTCCGAAACCAATGCTCATTCATTTGTTCTAAGTGAACACGAAAAGGGACAGTTTGAGTGCTTTGCTCATAGTGGCCTAGTCTCAAATTGGTGGTGCTTTCCTCCATATCCACCTAGACGTACGGAAAGGTTCTCGTTCCGGATAACCTTACACCCAAAGGAACCCTCGTCAAGGATGTTGTTTCATACGCCAAGAGAATATTCATTGTGTTGGTCGAATACAATGCTGCGGATCTCCATGCTGAGATATTTAATGGGACATTGCGGAGCTGGGCGAAGGAGTGTGGCGCGTTACGACGTGGGCCTCAATACCGATGGAAGAATTGTAGCCTTGGTCACCCCCAAGATAGAGCTGTTCCACAGGCATACCGCAAGTATGGTCCCGTCCTATGACCCATGTCCCGAAAACAAATGGTACACGGGATATGTACTTTGGACATGAAGTTGTCCTATAAAAATGACACCATTATTATAAATGAAGAAGGGATGAACAACAAAAGAAAATAATTGATAAGAATCCTGGTTTGTTCGACACTCGAGAACATCCTAAAGATACTCGATGGTTTTGTTTCTGTTGGCTCTACCCTTTGCCTTTAGGTCAGGCCGGCTTTTGGCTGCGGGCTTTATATAGCAACGAATCACATTGTACACATCTTCTAGAAATGAGGTATTCCGTACAAATTTAATAAATTAACTATCTGCTCTAGTGGTGGTGAAATAATTAATTTAGTATGGTGGGTGGAAACGCACTTTATACGTTATAGGAATAGCTTCATAAATTAAGCAAGCAGTAGTTAGATTATGCATACTTCTTAGGTGCTAACGCTCAGATCACATGGTCAAGGCTCACAGAGCAGATATAATTAAGGCCTCAGGTCATATAAATTACGCTAACCGTATATAGTAAGGCGTAGGGTGCTTTTAAAGATCCCCAACTTTGAACTACGCGACCATGAAATCAACATGCCTCGAGGAAAAAAACTGTGCAACCTCGTATATGTCAATTAGACACTATTATCAATTTGGATGCTAAGCGGATTTATAGTGTACAATCTGACATACCTCTTTCAACTATCTACTATTCTCTATGTCAAGAAGCGAATCGAATAGGGAACATGTCTCGTCCTCGATGAGGCGCGTCTCGAGATCTTATTCAAGAAGATCGAGATCACATTGATGAGCCATAATGTGAGGTTCTCATATTAAACACCGTGAACTGCTTGAAGAGGGTTGAGTGGTTGAATTCCGGGTTCAAAGGACTTCACTTTGGCATATCTACAATGAATTGGGTATATACAAATGGAGGCAATGTTGTCACCCAGCCTTAATGAATCTCGTGCTGCTATATGGCTCGGATAGGCACCTGCATATCAACACTATACCCTCGGGGATTGGACAGGCGTACGCTGCACTGATGAGTATACGATTGAGCGAAGTTGGGCATTGAGCCTCTCTGGACATTTACTTGACCTTCTGAAAAATCCGTGATCGCGATGTCTCCACTTGAGGTTGGAAGTGCGTCAATGAAATGATTTGGGCTGGTTTTGGTGAATAATCACGCACTGTCCTAGACTCTCTTGGGGGTGATTTGGAGGTAGGCTGTCCACAAAGGTGTCAGTGCAAATATTATTTATAATTTTTGTAGTGATATGCTGCCTGAGCTCATGGCTGAGGCTTGTATCTTTATACAAAATAATGCGTCGGTTCATAAGGCACAGCGCGTGCAAAAGGTACTGTAGCCTGTTGCTATTCAGGTTATGCATTGGCCTCCATATTAGCCTAGTCCCAATCCAATTGCGAACCGTGGTCAATCCCCAAACGCAAGATATATCTCCTATATCCTGTTCGAAAACGACACCACAGAGAAAATGCCGATTGGTTGATGCTGCGAAGGAGGCTTAGGAAAACATTAGGTCCGATATTCTTGTTCGGCTTTCTCAAACTATGTCTAATGGCTGTGATCAAAGTTAATCGGCTTTTCCATAGCGAGGGTATGTATGTTTGGTAAGATCTTACGGAGGACCGGTTAACGATTGGTCTACAGAATATTAGTACTGTATTGTTTTCAGTTAATTCGGCAGAATCTGCTCTTGCAAGGGCTTTTAAATTAGGGGTCCATTGGGCGGCAGCGGTAGGACCTTTCGCTGCGTTGATGGTGCTCCACATCCACAAAGTCTGATATTGTTGATCATGATGTCCCGTGGCATAAGATTTAGTTGCATCATCCAAATAAAATGTGACTGGCGAGATGTTGATTCTCACCCACAACACTTCTGTTCTTGAAGTCAACTTAATTTTCCCATACTTTTGTCTGATGGTTCCACCACTGCCCTTCACTTACATATTTATATCTGATTTTCGCCCCCAGCAGCCTGGTAGTATTCCTCTTCTATGACAACTACTAGCTCTTGTTTTCATTTGGAAGGACTCGTTTTCTCCATCGCACAAGTTCCCCATTTCCACTTCAATTCTTATACCCTTCAATTTGGCTGTCTCCCCGCCGGTTGAGTTGATATTTTGACGCATCTACGTCGATAAGAGTCATACTTTGGGAGCTTCGATTCCCTCTTACCCGGCGCAAATTACCACCTCCAAGATTACCCATCCGTGTGGCTAACCATGCCGGATAAGATGGCGGACAGTGTTGGTAATAGGCTTGCAAAATTCCTGCGTATCAAGAAGCCCTATCGCGACCCTCTTGGGCCAACGCAGACCAGGTCACACGAGGAGAGTCGACGTTCTCTGTTGGCACCACCGATACCGTCTCCTATCTTGAACCAGAACCTACCACCGGAGAGTGGCTTCAGGAACATGCTCCATCCGTTCGCGATGTAGTCATGTATTTCTTGGATACCTTGCCTTTCTGGCGCTGGATCACAAGGTACAACTGGCAGTGGTTTTGGGGTGACATGGTTGCTGGTATGTCCTTTGATGGCCACTTTAGAAAGGCTCTATATGTTGATTCTAGCGCAGGCATTACTGTTGGAGGCGTTGTGGTTCCGCAGAGCATGTCATACGCGAAACTGGCCGAGTTACCTGTGCAATTCGGTCTGTACTCATCATTCATGGGGGTGTTGATTTACTGGGTTTTTGCCACCTCCAAGGACATCACAATTGGGGTAAGTTCATTGCCCTACTAGACATGACGGAGACGGAACTAATTTAGCGTCCTATCTCTCAGCCCGTCGCAGTCATGTCTACCTTGGTCGGTGGGGTCGTAAAGGAGGTCATAACTGAGAATCCAGATGTCCCACCAAACATAGTAGCTTCTGCACTAGCCATTGTTGCAGGCGGGATTGTTGCAGCCTTGGGATTTCTCCGACTTGGTTTTATCGTTGATTTCATCCCCCTTCCGGCTATTTCGGCGTTTATGACTGGGTCAGCAATCAATATCATTGCTGGACAAACTTCCAAGTTGCTCGGAGAAACAGCAGACTTCAGCACACATGGATCAACCTATAAAATCATCATCAATACCCTCAAATATCTCCCCACCTCGACAATCGACTCTTCGCTAGGCTTCACATCGCTGGCGATGCTGTACTTAATCCGCTTTGGCTGCAATTATGGGGCCAATAAGATGCCTCGCCGTGCTAAGCTATTCTTTTTCTTATCCACTCTGCGCACTGTGTTTGTGATCCTCTTCTACATCATGGTCAGTGCCGCAGTAAACGTGCATCGAAAATCTGACCCTATGTTTGATATCATTGAGGATGTCCCGCGAGGTGGGTACTTCTGACATGCCATCTTCCTTATCTGAAAGATAAGGATACGACATAATAAGTTCTGATGATCTGTGCAGGTTTCCAAAATGCGGGAGTGCCTGTCATCAACGCCAAAATCGTCAGGTTGTTTGCAGCCCGGCTTCCTGCTTCGGTGATGGTTCTCCTGATAGAACACATTGCCATTTCCAAGTCCTTTGGTCGGGTCAATAACTATACCATCGACCCTTCGCAAGAAATGATCGCCATTGGAGCCACCAATTTGCTTGGGCCCTTCCTAGGCGCCTACCCAGCGACGGGGTCGTTTTCTAGGACTACCATTAAATCAAAAGCAGGAGTTCGGACCCCGTTTGCTGGTGTAATCACAGCCATTATTGTCTTGCTGTCGATCTATTGCTTAACAGAGCTCTTCTTTTATATTCCTGAGGCTGCACTTGCTGGTGTGATCATCCATGCCGTTGGTGATTTAATTACGCCCCCCGACACTGTTTACCAGTTCTGGCGTGTTTCACCACCTGACGCCATCGTCTTTTTTATTGGGGTGCTTGTTACCGTCTTCACATCCATTGAAATTGGTGTCTACTGCACCATCTGCATCTCTCTTGCTGTCTTTTTGTTCCGTGCGGCAAAGGCTCGCGGCCAGTTTCTGGGCAGAGTGACCATTCACTCAGTGGTAGGTGATCACCTGGTGGATGGTAATGGGAAATATGACTCTGGATTGCATACCCCATCGGAAGGTACACCGCACTACAACCGGTCTATCTTTCTGCCCACTAGCCACACCGATGGTTCGAATCCAGACATCAAGGTGGAACAGCCTCATCCGGGTATTTTTATCTACCGATTCTCCGAAGGATTCAACTATCCGAATGCCAATCTCTACTCAGACTATCTTGTCCAGACCATCTTTCAGAATACTCGTCGGACAAACCCCTTATCCTACTCAAAGCGTGGGGACCGACCGTGGAATAATCCTGGCCCGCGTCGGGGTAAGCAGGAGGAAGACCGTTCGCATTTGCCGACCCTGAGGGCTATCATTCTTGACTTCTCATCTGTAAACCATGTCGATGTCACCTCTATCCAGAACTTGATTGATGTTCGCAACCAGTTGGATCTCTACGCGTCACCTGACTCAGCGCAGTGGCATTTTGCCCATATCAATAACCGCTGGACCAAGCGTGCACTTTCTGCTGCAGGGTTCGGCTACCCAACTCCCACTTCAGAAGATGGATTTCATCGATGGAAGCCCATCTTTAGCGTTGCTGAGATTGAAGGCAGCTCTTCTGCTGCCGCCCATGCCGAGATCGTGAACAATGAACAAGAATGTAGACGGCACCAGCGTCACGACAAAATCAACGACGCTGAGGATGGAATCAATTTGCAGTCCAACATTACAGAGTTCGAAGTGTTGAAAGGCGAGAATTCATCTGGTGGCAGCAGTACTTCAAGGGGCAAGGTGCTGCCCGTCCTCACGGACAGCAAGGCCTATCGGACTCGGTCAAGAGTGGCATTGGTGCAGGGCCTCAATCGACCTTTCTTCCATATTGACCTTACGAGTGCTTTGCAGAGTGCAGTGGCAAATTCGGATATCCCTGGGTCTCTCAAGCCTGAAGCGGATTAGAACTAGAGTGGTTAAATGAACACAACAAATGAAGCAGTTCTGAACAATCAATTTTGAGGTCCCATACAGGCCAGTAGTGTCAAGTATCTCTTGGGAGACGCGGAATATGGGAAACGACTTCTCTTTAGTGGAGAACGTGCTCGTATCGGTGTCAGTCATCTAGGATATAGTAAGTTCACCACTGCTTATCATATCATAGATAAGCTCGAGTGTAGATCCAGCCAGATTCGGTGCCATAGTTTATTGCGCCACTAGCAGTTATCAATGAAGATCCCATGGGGATGTGAAGATAACGTGGACGTGGAACAATGAGGTAGCAGGTAAAGCAAGGACAGGTAATATACGCAGGCCCTGGTTCTGGACCTCTTCCAGTTTTTGCAGTATAAGGCAGAAATCTTAACGCATGATGGGTCAAGTTCGGGGACACACACCTGAAACCAACGCCTATACGAGTCATTGGTCATCAAGACTGCGCTAGCCACTATCTCAATTTCTTATGGGTCGAGAACCCGCTCTCGGGGCGAGATACAGAGCCTAGTATTGCCGTGGATTCCGAGGTTCAAGAACGGCAGCTATCATGACAGACGAAGCTTTGAGGTAAAGTCACCAAATTTGGTTTCCAAGCAAGGACTTGTGCCACTGCGGCGGCTTTTCCGAACATGGCCACACCCGATCACACGAGAGAGGAACAACGACTGAAGTCACCTTAGCCTTTAGTGTTCTCCTTGCTCTTACGCTGCAGATATCAATAAGCGTGAGTTTTGTCAACCACCTTCATGGGTTAAAATATATACAACATTTCACAACTCAATATTTGCGAAAGTCAACAACACGTTTTGCGGTTCCTTTTTCTTCAAATTATAAAAGCTCATACACCGCATCAGAATACACGTAGTATATTACTATAGAATCAAAGTACCTGTAGTTGCACAGTATACTTCATATAGAGTAAATAGTCAGTCTAACTGGGCTAGCGGAGATCCCACTAGAACGCGTCTCCGCGTGTGGACGTGCTTTGTCCCAGAACAACGTCCGAATCTAGGCCAAAAGTTACTAAAAGCACCAAGGTGCTCCAAAGTAAGCGATCGATCAAGACAAAGCTTGACATACTAATATAATGTTACTGTATAGATGACATCTCCACTTGCTACAATATTCGACTCTCCTAATACCAGGAAGAATAAACGCGATTATGAGGCGCTTAATAACTATGGCCTCCTTGCAGAGGATTTTTCAATTGCAGTTCCGCCCCCTCGAAAGAAGACATCAGTCCGGCCCACCCCTAAATCCCCGCCTCCTCCAATCTCAGCCTCTCCCACGGCTCCTAGCAATGTTTCTAGGAGCTTATCGAACCTTGACACGAATATACAGCCCTCGCAATCAATATCTCAAGTCGAGTGCGAGGTCGAGAGGGTCGGAATCAAGCAGCATGATGAGACTAGGTTGAAAGAGCGGAGCTGGGTATGGAAATACTATCATACAACACCTGAAACTGGTACTCAGAGATTAGGGAATAAGGAGCGGCTCGAGCTTAAGCACCTATGTATTGTATCGCCATCTACCTGTCGCTTCTTTCGGTTTGCATCCAAGCTACGATCTTCAACCACGGCGTTGAAACAGCACCTGCAGCAAACACACAAGCTCTTTCCGGATGGCCGTCTAGAGAGCCAGGGACCGTTAAGCTCGTGGATTTCTAAGGAAAAGGAGGTCTCCTTCGAAGAAGCTGCCGCCTTCAACTGGATTATATCGACCTATCAGCGGTTTGACCGGCGGTTAAGTAGAAAGAAAACCGCACCAACCCGCGATTACGGGCGATTTGGGGTCAACCCACTACCCCCTGGTTTCTAGAACGAAATTCAAGTGACCAAAGAAGAATTGTAGAATAACAAACGATATTAATGAATTAAGACAGGTGGATTTAGGTGAAAGAGAAGACGCGCTCTTGATCGCTCCTAAATTATCTAGAGAAAATCCCAAAGTTTAGTAAAAAAGTTAAATGCGTTGTGACAGTAAATGCGCACCACCTTTACTTTTATAGTCAATATATATATCTAATACCAGATAATATGTTATCGACGACTCCTGCCACCATCGCCAACCGCGACACTTGGGATAGTTTAAAGACTGGTAAGATGCAATCTCAAACTCAGGTTCTACATGATGTAGCCAAGTTTCTTAAAATTTTCTTGAAATAATATATGGATATCACCAGGAATTATTGTGCTGATCCTTGCAAACCAAAACAGTTCTAGATAACAGTATTTCATTAATATGAATCAGCAAGTTTATGCGGCTTGGCATGGCCTAACTAAGTCAGTTATGCAAAACGGTTTTTCTGCGGTTGGCTGCGGTCTAACCATGCGGGTTTGCGGTGCGGTGCGGTTTGAATTTTGCCTAACCACATTTAGTGCGGTTGGTGGGTGCTTGGTTAGGCTTCGCCTAACCAAGCACCGACTGTGTCGAGGTCTAGGCTGGATCCACAGGAGAGGAGCTTACTAAGAAGCAAGCCCCTGAGTTTTAGTACGTATGTAACAGACGGATGGAGAGACTTAGAGGAGACAGCTGTTTAGTGATAATCCATTGCTAACTTACCGATTCACCGATCGTTGACATAAACTTTTGTTCGCCGTGCCTTCCAAATACCGAGCCAAGATGTTTAGTAAGCTTTGACATCGCACTAAAAGTCAAAACAACGACTCAAGATACGGCAATGAGGCACGTGTCGTACCACAACGCCGCTGCTCGCTTTCGAGATGGACGGTTCCGATGGGACTAAGAAAGCCTATTCGGACGGTGAATGTCATTGAGTGGCTGTGATTGGCCAAGGTAATATCGTGCTCTCGTTGGGGCTTAGTCTTCAGGGGTCGGTGGTTGGCACTTCCAAATTTGGGAGTGGGAAGATGAAGATTGTTATTTCGGAAATACCCACTCTCTTGAAAGCGTAATAATCCTGAGGACTGAAACTGAGCAGCATACTGCAACGCAATGGCCGGATGCAATGGCCGGATGCAATGGCCGGATCCAGTTGATTTCCTGTCTCTTTGCTCAATTTATTTGTTATGATCGGTTTGGTCGTTTGCTTCGCTTTTCATATGTTCTCGTCCTTTAGTAGAAATAATCAACGCCAAACTCAGCAAGGGGTAGGGGCAGAATTTTTTGACCGGGGGGAGGGGGCTTTGGGCGGAAAGGGACAAGTGACCAGAAGAGTAACTTGCATGACACCTACTTTATTACTTTGCAGTCTTTCCTCTCTTCGTTCCTCAACTACGGCTCATCATGCTTTGCCCTCAGTGATTTGGGCCAATCAGATTGTGGTTGTATCATAATGATGATGATGAATTCATTTGCCCGTAATTGTTTGTATCAACTCGCTGGCCCAGAATGGGGCACATACATCATTCCTGTTCCGGTGGAAGGTTCCGCTTTGGTTTCATGACTTCATATATGTATGTTATTCAGGTGTACAGGCTCCCGGTCCCGGTCTGATCCTCGTGCGAGAGCGCGCGACGCTGGCGCTGTGTCATGCAGATCAACCACCCAGGATTTCCGCCGCGGATCATAGGCCCAACTTGGAGGTTTTGCATGCTAATCGTTAAAGGGCGTAGCCGTATGTAATAAGCGCGCATATGGCGGACCCAGGGACCGGAATAGTGACTGCAGGTCCAGGCCTGAGGTAAAACATCTGGATCCCGGGCCACACTTTCGCCTCAATTAGGTAGGGTTGGGGTGGGTGGAAATGAAAAGCGGCCCCCACCGCAATCACAAATAAACTCTACGAGTCGCGTGGCCAATCACGATCAGCGGAACATTGTCGCCGACTACCCGTGGGTCGATCCCGACGAGAACTACTGACCGGGAACTTTCGAAAGGGAGTTTCATTCGAGAATAGCTGATGAGGATAGTCGTGGATCATGGTGCTCGAGCCTTTTCCACGCGCCGGGTTAGCATTAGCTATTCTCCTACGTAGAGGTACCACACATCTACTATGTTCACGTACATAATGTAATTTTGTCTCGCTCATCTCCCCCCACCCCAAGGGACACCCCTCATCGTGATCCCAACCACCGCTGAAACACCCGAACGGCCCGCGCACGGAGCAAGAGACCCTTTTCAAAGACTAGGCTGCGGTAAATCCGTGTTCGCGTGGGCAAATCGTCACTGTTCCCACGGCCAGGGTTAATCTCCGGAAATAAACATAAATGAAAAAAAGCTTTGGAACGGGCTGTCTCAGCATTGCTGTGCGCGCATACCCTATAATTTATACCTATGCTACATTCTACTCTTTATTCGTACAACTAAATCCCAGTCCCCAGCTAGCATGGCTTGTCGACGATCATCTTCGCGAGAACCCGACTATAAACCCTGGTGTCCATCCCCAGTACCGGGGCGCCTTGCTAGTTCTTTGTTTCACTCTATACACGACATTTTCCTCCCCCACCCCGCTTCCATCATGGATCCGGTCAATTTGCTCCACGCGGCCCCCAAGCCATATACCGACTCATGCGGCGAACGCTCGCCTCCCGTCGAAGTGCCCAGGTGCACACTGCCTTCAATCTCGACCCTGCTCGAGAATGCTGATCGCCACGCAGCCAGTGAGTGTATCGATAACCTATTCCCATAGTCACAACCGTTTAACCCCCGAAAGAGCGGCAACGCCTCAGCCCCTTGTCGCACTGCGGCACCCACTACGACGCCATCCGCCTCCCGCCCATGCCGCCGCGGCGGCCAGGCTCCGGCTCCGGTCACGGCAGCTCGCCGTTGCAGCAACTGAGCAAACCCATACTCGCCGCGTTGCATCCGCACCGCACCCCCGTCCCCACCAGCTCGGCCACGCACCTGTCCTCCTGGCCGTACGCCTCGCCTGCACCAAGGGTGTCCTACACATCGCCGGTCGACGCACCAAAGCAAGGCAATCTGTACTACGCTCGCCGGCCCGCAACAGCAAATCTCCAGCCGCGAACGCCCGCCCTTATCTCCCCCGTCACCCCGGCTTGGCAACAGCACCACCACCACTATTTCCCGCCGTCCAGCTCTGCACCCTACCAGCAGAACCATAACCGCTATGTCTGCCGCACTTGCCACAAAGTTTTATTGCGCCCGTCTTCCCTGCGCATCCACACCCGCACCCACACCGGCGAGAAGCCGTTCCGCTGCACCCATTCCGGCTGCGGCCAGGCCTTCTCTGTGCGCAGCAATATGAAGCGCCATGAACGGGGCTGTCGCTCTGGTCGGCCGGCCATTCCTGCTACTCTTGTGGCGTAATGGCGATCGGCACTGTGTGGTGAGATCTCCACTGCGCTGAACTTTTGAAATATTACTACTGCATGGAGCCATTTGGGCAAAGAGGTGACCCGGTGGAACTCAACCTATGTCATGATAGCGGACGCCCTTTGGCTTCGGACAGAGCTTGGACAATTTGTTCGGATCCACCCGGAAATTGACGCCTTCGGCTTACCGAAGACGAATGGTCGATTATTTAACAAGTAGCGAAGGTACTAAAGCCTTTTAGGATCACACCAACTCCGTGTCAAAATATTGTTCGACAATTGTTGAGAATCTACCAATTTACTGGGGTCTGGATGATCTGCTTGACGATGTTCGAAAGGCAGAAGCTGATTTTGAAGGTGTGGACACCGAGATCCGACATGTGGTTGAAAGAGGTAACCGAAAGATGAATAAGTTTGCAAGGAAGATGGACGACAACCTTTTTTACTTTGTGGCTTCCGTGCTAGACCCGCGCATTGAGTCATCTTTGATTGGATCGCAGAATAGTGAGCAAGATGCGGAGCTGATCATCTCTCAAGTGCGGGAGTTCTTAAAAAAGGAGTATCCTCACGAGCCGTCCATCTCGTGTGAAGTTGATCGCCCACCAGGAATGCCGGAGACCATGTGGAGGACGCTGCGAAAAATACGGCCATCACGGCGGACGCTTTTATCCGACGTTGATAGCTATATCTAGACTCACCACCAGTGAGTTGGTCCCACCATGATGATGATGATGATGAATTCATTTGCCCGATGTAGCTCACTCTAAATATATGCTGCTATGCGGGAGTGCTGTCAGGCCTGCCGACAGCTGGAAAGTGGTTGCCAGCCCACTGGGCAACTGTGTCAGGAAAATTTCAAGGCGAGTTCCTGATCGGTCGTCCTTGAACGTAAAATATACAAATTAAACAAAAGAAATGCACGGATGTAAACAGGATAGACACAAAAGAAAGCCAAAATGAACGTCATTTACCCCTCCCTGGTCGCGGGTGGGGCCAGGGTCCCGCTCACTAGGCACGCGCACCATTCCCACGCCGACCTCTCAAACTGTCCAATCTGTCGGCTGCCGCTCGCGCGCTCGCTTGGATCAAGTGGACCTGGCAACTGCACTCCTACTGGGCGCCATACTAACTGTCCTAGGAGATCATTATCTCCGCTCCTTTGTCATCCTCTTCCTCCACGCCTAAAGCCGTTGGATCGACTGCCTGAAACTGGCCTAGGAGAACGGTCTTGACCTTGAATTCGGCCACAATTGTGCGAGCCTCCGGTCGCGTCAGGAATTCGCCTCGACGGAGAGCGATTCCCTGGTCGGAGAGAGAGCACTTCTCATCCAGTCTCGCTCGTCTTGGTGCAACGGGCACTCAAGCAGGATGTGGGTTACTGTTTGGTTGCCAAGGTTGTATCCTCCATCCCTTGTCAAAACCTGTGTTTCTAATGACAAGATCGCAGTCAATACAGCAGGGGGCTATCGTCTGCCATAGGGGAACGAACTGTCACGGGCTATGCGTATGACGATGTTTACCGGCTTACTCGTCTGGTGCCTCAAGCATCAAGACGCTTAGCGGTTTGTGCTGGTTTTCAGAGTCACTGATTCCAAAATGCTCGGTATACGTCGGCAAAATCGTTTCGGTCTACCTAGACTGGCCTCATCAGTGGAACACCAGCTAAAATATACCCGGATACCTTATCCTTATTCACGGTGTACACGTCCTGGTATTTCCACAACGCCAACCACGCGCAGTCTAAAGCGTATTTTGAACGGAGATATGTCTTATCTGGAAGGCAAGCCCATCTCTTCAGCTTTCTCACGATCCGTCAACTTCAAAGATAATCGAGCTGATAAGCTTCTCATCATACGTTTCAAGGTTTTTCCGGTTCATTGATGATCTCAAACCACCGTTGACTACCGTTGACGAATGCTTGATTAAAACCACGGGTAGGTTTCTAAGGTTCAACGGATTGCATACCTCATCTTTGGACATGCTGACTTCGGCATTCTGTCTTAACTCAACTCAACAGTTGGCATGCTAATATAAATGCGGAGCCACGGTGGCCCTTCATGGTTCACATGCCGGGTATTCAATGTTGAATGTCGAGTTTACCGGATATGACCTAGCTAGTCAACCGTAAAGATCTTCAACATCACCGTTCGGTCTTTCGTAAGGTCTGGTGAGTCGTGGATGCAAACCAGTTTATTGTCACCTTTTCGATAATCAAGTCTGACCTTTCCCTCATGCAATCATAAATGAGGATGTCACTGTCTTTGCTCACCACAGTCAACGATTTCAGGGAGAATGTCTCAGAGAAAAGCTCGGGCGCCGTATAAATAACAGGCGCACGACCCAGAGACACAAAAAACCAATAATTCATTCGGCTGCAGTGCTCCAAATGCAACAATGAGTAATCACACCGATGCGGGATCCTGCGTGCTGTGGATGGGATTGGGAAATTGTCGGGAGACTCGGCAGGGCTCTGCTACTTGCGTATCCTGGCTGATGTGCTCCTCTCCAAGCTGCTCTAGCCAGGGACCATTGGTGTTCTGTGGGTTCAGGAAGGGGCAAGTCTGAAGAAATTAGGCCCATGTGTTGTGATACAAGGCTGGTGCAGATCAGAACGTGACTAATCGGCATTCCGTCCAATCCGTTCTAGCAGCCGCAGAATTTGTACCAGCTGCGCCGATCGGTATCGTTGCGTGCTTTGTCACTAGATTCCTTATCGCCCGACTGCATCCGGCCTGAATCATGATCATGTCGGTGGCTGCCTTTACGCTCGGCAATGTTTTCGCCCCCGTCGCGCCGGCCAACCAAACATACTGGGTCTTGATGTTTGTTTGTTGTTGGTGATCCCGTGGGGATGGACATGTCATTCCCTGCGGCCACTTTGATGCTATCAAACTCTGTGGAAAATAAGCATCAAGACATCGCGGCGTCATTAGTAATTACCATTGTCACCTAGAATATTTCGCTGAGTCTGGGCTTCGCAGGCACAGCGGAGGCACATATTAAGAATGCAGGCCTTACACTGTGGGATACCTTGAAGGGCTAACGGGGGAGGGGGGCCACTATACTTTTCCACCGGGCTCCGTGATCTGGGTATAGTGCTGAGTGTGATATTTACACTGAAATATTACGGGGAGGAAAGGAGGCCCAAGCAGGTTGAGGAAGAGAAGTGGTCTGATGAGGCATTCACAGACGAGCCATTCTCCGACGAGTGATTGCAAGCTCGCTCAATCGTATCGTAGAACTCGCATTTTGAGTGTTGGTCATCATAATCCATAATCCCCTTTGCCTAGCGAAAAAGCCACTCCGTTAAAAGTGCCACAAACTTAGAATTCTGACACATCGAGCACAGAAACATTCACCGCAAAGTCCTTGCATGATGGCTCCTACAAAGACATCCAACCTTGGGAACCTATCAAATGCCACACCCGAGCAAGCTTCTGCATTTAGATATGCTAAACCAGAATGCAAACATGATGTTAATCCAAGCCTCCCAAGCCTCACATGCCCTTGAATTCCGCTGGAGCTAGTTAAGCTTCTCCGACTAGGTCAAGGTCTGTGGAATGCACAGCCTAGTGGCTGGGGTACAGTGGCCCGTGGCCCAACTCCTGGTGGGGCCACTTTGGTGTGTCTTTTTGGNGGGGGGGGTGCTTGAGGGGCTTTGCGGTATCCAATGCTGCGTATTATTATTGCAGAGTCGATAGTCTTCGATCTACGCGGTGTTTGTTTTCTGGGTGGTTCTAACAATTGATTTACCCAACGTGCGACCTTCGCCCTTGGAAAACAAAAGAGCTTGTATGGTCTTGTCGGCGTCATATACTCATACTTGTCTTCGGCGGAACCTCCTGGTTGGACGAGCCAACGATCATCCCCGCCAGCAATGTCCGAACGATCCTCTTCTGTTTCCAGCCACGTGGCTTAAGACAGTGCCCGCTGGGCCCCTGAGCCACATTTCCTGGCCCATATTGAAGGTACGGGTGCAGACGAGACTCCTGTCTTTTGTGGGTTTCGGCCCTCTGTCCTCCAGAGTTGTTTGCCCAATTTTGGTGGATGCGAGGGCCAGACGTCACCGACTCGCAAATGCAGTCGTATCTGCGGGTTAAATTGGAATTTTACTGCATTTTAGGTTGCTTGCATAACAGAATTGATTTCTGGGCCTTTCCGTAAATTTCCATGGAAGAATGAACAATTTTCCTGGAGGCAGAAGGATGTCCAAGGAGATGGATGGCAAATGACTCCCACTCCAGTCGTAGCTGAAAGGGGCTATCTCGTCATCTACACTATAGGATCCAAGTGGTTAGAGATACGACGGGAGAAGGTGAGTGGACTTCTCACTCATCTTGTTCACAAAATTTCGTATGGTTTTTCTGCACCTCTGCGTATTTGACCCTCGTTATCAGATCAGAATCAGAGAATTGTACTGCATTCTACTGTGACTTTTTGCACGATTAGTATCGGAATTGAACTGCTCCTATTGGAAACCTAGTCCCACGGAGCATCCCGACCTTGACTGGCCGAGAGGTTGTCTGAGCAACATGAAAGTCTCTGCACTAGCCTAGCGATCTTGTGAAGACTACGATGCCCTGAGATAGAACCACTAGATCATCGTCCTTCTCACCCCGGATTGCTTGACCTTCCATTTAAGTTACGAGTAAAATATACTTATACTCATTCCATAGAAACGAAACATAATGGTGCAGCAAATACATTTGTAGTTTCTGCATTTCGCAAACATGTAGGAATATCCGCAGATTCGAATCAGTGTGTTCTTGTTAGGAGAAATTCCTCCTTCCTACTCTTTCGCTGAACTACGGCGTGAGCCAATGTGCAACCTCACATATTATTTCTAGACATAGTTCTGTGTGCTTATTTCACAAGCGAGATGAAATGTAAACCTCCGTCATGGAGAGCTCTATACATTTATGGCAGATGTCACGTGAAATTATATCCACTCTTTGTATTTATTCTTGTCTTGCCGTACATTTTACAATACACCGTTCTTGACCCCCTCTTGCGACATCAGATGTTGGCATTACCTTACGACTACTGTATGAAACCGGATTTACTATTGATCCACTGCCTGATTAAGTAATAGATCGCACAATAAATAGCCAGGAAATATGGTAGTACAAATACAGAGTCATTGATATCTCCATTTGGTCGGATACTATCGTCGCGGCCTGATTTCTCGGTTTTTAGACAATTGTCGGGGTCCTCGACCCATTTGCGGGTTACGGCGAAGACTAATCCTATTTAGGAAAAGTCGCCTCTTTTATACACAAATGAGGGCCGATAAGGGCGGAGGGCGGAGGTGTCCCCACCCTCCAAATGTTTTTTTGAGTGGTCTATATGGGACTTGTCAAGGCCTACGCTGAGGCCACGTGGGAGGTTTGTAGGGAGCTTCGCAAATGCGTTTCATTGTCGCGCGCCAAGCGCACCAGCATCAGCAAGACATGTTGCCTTAACAGGCTATGATCGAAACTCCCGTTTGTAAGAGCTTTGCCGTGTGAAAGCTCGGTTTGTGATCTTGGCGAAATTCGCCAAGGCATGCACCAAAATACAAAAGCTTATTATGACCGACAGCCATGGGCGTAACCCGGTTCAAAGCTTAATCTCAAGATCATCAGCATTCGTCTTAAGAACGTGCTCCTATAACATCCATGATTAGCTGAAAATCCATATCATTTGGAAATAAACTTGGCACCTTGCTTGGCGCCAAGACTTAACACTCAGCGTTCGCAGAGCAACTATGCAGGTCGAGTGCGGGAACATGTGGCCCTCGTAGTCGCTGTTATTCGAGAGAAGAAACGGCTTGCGATCAGCACATGGGACGTTCCGTGCGTGATCTTGTAGTCGACCAGGCCTTGGCAAGGAGTCCGAGTCACCGAACATGTTAATATCTAAGCTCTTTTAACAGAAGGCTGCATCAAGACTTTCCTCTCTCTTTTTCTTTGCACTCTACGGCGTTCAACCTCTTTATCAATCTTTGACCTTCCCACTCAGCCTTTCTCGGGTGATTGCCGCCAAAATGATTCCCGCAGCCACCGCCAAGTACGACTGGATCCTTGCTCTTATCAGCATTGCTTTTGTGGTCAGTGCTTTCGGGAACGGAGCCAACGATGTCGCCAACTCCTACGCCACTTCGGTGGCTGCTCGCACTCTAAAAATGTATCAGGCCAGTTTACTCGCCACCTGCACCGAATTCGTTGGTGCTGTGGCTCTAGGAGAACGTGTTACGGATACTATCAAAGACGGCATTATTGACATCAACCGGTTCGAGGGCAACCCTGGAACTCTCATGCTCGCCATGGGTTGTGCTGAGTTTGGCAGTGCTGCGTGGCTAACCATGGCTAACTACATGGGCTGGCCGGTGTCAACCACGCAGACTATCGTCGGCGCTCTTGTTGGTGTTGGGCTTGCTGCGCAGGCTAGTATCCACTGGGAATGGACCGATGGTAGTGTGTCGCAGGTTGCTGCGTCCTGGGGTATTGCTCCTGCTATTGCTGCCGGTTTTGCTGCTATCGTTTTCGCCACTCTTAAATATTCGGTCCTTGAACGCCAGGACTCATTCAAGTGGGCCATGCGCCTGATCCCCGTCTACCTTGCTATGACCGGCGCTATCCTCGCCCTCTTCATCGTCATCGAAGCTCCTAGCGAACCCTTCGAGACATTCGGGGTCGGTAACGGCGTTGGAATCATTCTGGGCGTGTTTGCTGGCTGCTTGCTGGTGGCTGTCGTTTTCTTCTTGCCCTACTTCCATCGCCGTTTGGGCAAGGGTGATACCCGCGTCAAGTTCTACCACCTTCCTCTTGGCCCGTTATTGTTGAAGGATAACTGTCCGTTGTACTTCCCGGCCAAGAGCGATACCGTCGTCCTTAACTACTACGAGGATTCGTATGGACATGTGTGGGCCGGGCAGAAGGATGCACTGAAATCCCCGGAACCTCAGCACTCATCTCAATCCAAGGCTCTCGAAAGCACCAGCGATGTCGAGCATCACCCCGAGTCTGTTGAATCGACCCCCCATATTCAGCCCAAGAAGAAGCACGTCGAACCCGAAGAACGCTTCCTCGACCCTGTCCGAAACCTGCCCTGGTACAGCCCCCTCAAGATTTGGGGCTACATTAAGTACTGTCTTCTTCAGGGTGTGTCTCGCGATGTGGTTACACACGACTCCCAGCACCTCCGTGCTATTCACGCCCGAGCCCATAGATACGACGACCGTGTGGAGCATCTGTGGACCTACTGCCAGGTTGTCTCCGCCATGATGATGTCTATTGCCCACGGTTCTAACGATGTTGCTAATGCTGTTGGTCCCTGGGCCGCAACATACAGCACTTACCTTGCTGGTGAGGTTAGCACCGATGCTCCCACTCCAGTTTGGTTTTTGGTCATTGCCGGTCTCCTCTTAGGTGCTGGCTTCTGGTTTTACGGTTTTAAAATTACGCGCGCACTCGGCAATAAGATCACCCAAATGTCACCCACCCGTGGTTTCTCTATCGAGCTAGGTGCCGCCATTACCGTTCTTCTCGCCTCGCATTTTGGCCTGCCAGTCTCGACCACGCAGTGTCTGACTGGTGCTTCCATGGGTGTTGCCTTGATGAACTATGACCTGGGAGCTGTAAACTGGAGACAATTGGCTTTTATCTTCTTTGGCTGGGTTCTGACCTTGCCTTGTGCTGGTCTAATGAGTGGATTGTTGTGCTTGATGGCATTGAACTCTCCTCACCTCTAATAGATCTCCGACGTCTATAATATTTCAGTCTCCAACTTATTGATACCTGAAATGTCTTTCCTTTTTTTCAACGTGGAAGGAACGATATGTATATATAAGTTTTCGGACCGCAGATTGTAAGCCCACCCCTATTCCGTGTCTCTGGTGTTGAGGGAGAGAGGAGGTATTGGATGCAAAGGGAATGAATGGTTGGAGATTGGGAGGTTGGAATAACCCCAGAATGGAAGAGTACTTTACAACCTCAAACAGAACAACCAATTGTAATAAAAATTCAGTGCGGATCTGTCTCCCAAGGCAATGCCTGAATGTACGCTGTCAGGTAGTATTTTGCAGGAGTCCTCAGCGGTGGAACAAGGCACATTCCTCAACATCTGTACTCCACAAGCCAGTCCATCATACTGGGACAGCAGCTCGATGACGAAGCAGCCAAATGGAGGACCGTTTCTCCATTGGCATCTGTAGCAATAATACTGGAACCACATTTAACAAGAGCTTGCGCCTGTTGAATGGCGCTCTGAGAGATGGCATGGAGTAGAGGCGTCTTCTGAGCGTGATTTTTAGCATCGAGCTTGGCCTCATGAAGAAATAGTGTTCGAATGATGCTTTTTCTGCCATTCCCGGGAATGCTTGGATTTGTTGCAGCGTAGAAAAGTGCACTCCAACCTTTCCAGTACTGATTATTGTTTTTGAAGTTCGGATTGGCGCCAAGGCTTAATAGCAGGCGCACAGCGCGGGTGCATGAATGATCAGCTGCTACTTGAAGTGGCGTTCTGCCCATATTGTCTTGAGACTCCAATTGAACACCGGAGCCTATGAGGATGTTGATAATTCCGAGGGTAGCGTTCTTAGAAGCCGCGATGTGCACGAGGGTCATCCCAGTTCGGCGGTCCAAGATGTGTGTATCAGCCCCATGCTTCAAAAGCAATACCACTTTGGATTCCTGGTTTGAACGGACAGTGTCCCGTAACGGAGCATGTTTGTCAAACGCAACGGAATTGGCTATGGCGGCCGTGCTCTAGGAGCAACTTGGTGATCGCCACGTCGCTACGACCATTTGTCGCCAAAACCAAGGGTCTTCTAGATCGGGCATCGGCCACATCTGGCAAAGCCCCATTCTCTAGAAGCGCTTGTACAACACTGGTATGCTTGGTAGAAACTGCTTCCAGAAGAGCTGTCGACTGTGCGCGATTTGGCGATCGGAGGTTAACATTCGCACCCGCACGAAGCATATTCCGGACTACAAGTTCGTCCCCACGACTTGCGTACCATAAAAGGGCCGATCCACCATCCGAGCGTATATATGTTGGTAGACCTCATTGATCAAGAGATGGTAGAACTTTTGGCTCGTTCGGAGGAAGCTGAGAAGGTCTTTTGGCGAGTTCAAATGGCTTGAAATGAGCAAAATCATTTCCGGCGGAAGAGAGAGAAGAGACATCGCGAGAGCTTGGACAAATGGCTGACCTGTCACTCAATGGAATGAGTGAAGGAATTTCTCTAATCTTGCTTGAGCTAAACAAACCAAAAGCTGTTGGCCATTGTGTATCAGGCGATAGGAAAACTAAAGCAGAACAAAAATGAGAAAAGAATTCAGTCGATGCTTGTTATATATGTAACAAGAGCAACTAGGTGCAGCATCTGGTCCAACTAGGTGGTGTTGAGGTGTTGAGGTGTTGAAAAGGCGGCCGTAATAATCATTATCCCAATTGAACGCTTCTAATAACCCATTCCATCAAAGCCAAGACTCGATGTTCTATGAGGCCTTAGTGTCATGAAGCCCGGTTAGCATCTTGCTTTCTTATACAATGCCGAGGTAAAATCGAATTTTTCTGGATGTCTTTGAGTATTTGCAGGCAAAAGTGACACCTTTTCCGAATAGCGAGGCTGCCCAAAGACAAAGAATAATGGTTTTTTGATGACCTCTGATTTGATAACTGCTGGGCTTCTTAGGTGACGGCGTTGAACTGTTAATAAAGCCAACGTTGATCAGGGGCAGATTTGGGCTGTGTTTAAGCTTCTAATATATAGACAGCGAGTGAAGAAGTCAAGATCTGCTTAGCTGCTTTAAATTTGAGCTTCTTCTTTCTGTTGGGCTGGTCAGAGATCGTATTGAATTGCGGCCACAGAAAGCCCCACCTTCTCGTTAATGAAGGTTGAAGTGCTTCAACGGAAGCTCAAGTACTGTCTGGGAGATTTTGTGGCCGACAGTCACTCTCAATTGTACCCGTGGTTGGCTTCTTTTTCAGAGCGCCACTTGAATCAACTTTTTCCATGCTATAGCACCCCACTTTATGAATGAAATTTCTTTCTTATGCTTGCTTGCAGCCAACTCTTGTTCCCATCAACGGGATTTATGTTACCTGGTGGCACAGATACGATAAAAGCAACCCCAAATCCCAGATTATGATTGTATTCTTGGGCGGAAAGTAGGTTAAAACTTTACACCTTGCTGCAAAGCCAACGATAGGAACCAGAGTCCAATTCCCAGGGCAGCCAGTTGAGCTACCAAGAGCCAGGATCTGGTTCCTCGTCGATCGCCACCCACCCCGCGAGATTGCAACGCTACTATCACAGTTTGCTGGTACTCTGGGTCGCACGCAGACAGATATTCCATGGACCTCGAAATTTATAACTATTACTTCGCTCAGGCACATGGAAATTTGTTTGTAAAACTCTAGTCAAGTTAATATTCCAGCTGCTCTCTCACCCAAGAGACCCATCATCTGCTCAATTTTTCCAAAATGGCACGTCCAAGGCGTCAAAGTCGGCGCCAGAGACAAGGAAAATTCCATGTACAGGTCCCAAAGCTGCCGGAAGACCAAGCCTTGGCAGCCAAGGATGTTCCGCGCCGCGGCCAATCGTGTGAAGTGCGATCGCATCCAACTGCCTCTATGCAGTGGAATCAGAATGATACAGCGACCAACAAACAAGGCCAGCCTGAGACTAGCACTGTATTCACAGTAAGTCGGTATGTGGCCGGAGGCACTTCGACCAGATCTTCTTGGCTATCTCATCCTCTGAATAAGCGGTAAGAACTCACGACAAGTCTTCCCAATTTGGAAGTTGTTACTAACGCACTGCTCTCAGATTGATAAAACAATTGATTGAATGTTGCCGAGGGAAGATCGATACCATCTTCAGTAAGTTCAAGTTACAAATTTAGGAGCGCGCCGACTAATCTATGGGCTCGAACAACAGTCCTACAAGGTCTATACTCACTTCTCAGAGTTCCAATAACAAGCATCCCTTTCCGCGCACAAAATCTTATTCTCCAAGCCATACAGCGACATCTTGAATTCGATGCATTTCAATTCGTTCACAAATGGCTTTTAGAGGAGTCTCTTATGGTTGGGTGGACATGTCCAGAGGAACTGGAGCTACACAGTCTTTTCAAATTCTTGGTGAAACATCGGGACAAGATACAGTGTAGCTCTTGCCGTCAAGCCGCTAACACCATACAAAAATGGCAAAGATTGGTTTCTGGCATCCGCCACGCTGCTGTCCACCGTCTGTCACAGGATCGCGAATCTCTCCTCCAAATGAACCGCGTCGCCATTGAATTCTCTATCTGTATCGGTGGACATTCAAGTGTGGAGAAGCTTCGCCGTCTCTTGAAGTTTCTGGAAGATAGACTCCCAAAGTCAGAGCGCCGTCGAGCGCAGCCAAGACGAAATTTCAAACACCAAGCTTCTTTCCCAAGAATGCGACTCGAAGGTCTCAAAGACCGATTTCTGTTGCTGCCGAAACACACACAGAGAGTCCTTCACCGGATTGAGGCAATGTACAATTTGGAAGTGGAACGGTTCCTGCAAGCTGAATTCAGATGACATCTACTCACTGGTTCAAATTCTTGATGTCCAAATACGACGTTTTGTTGACGTGTATCTCGGGATAGACAGATGTGAAATGATTCGTTAAGTGGTCGAAAATACTGCGCTTGAATGCGGACCGATGGTTGGAATCTCATCGTCGGTCCAAGGGACAGTGGATCAAGGAGGTTTGAATTTGTGGCCCAGAGGAGAAATCAGAATGATCTGTTAGGGTCCAGCACAGCCAGCACCGCTTCCGTGCCGGCTTAAAAGAACACGGTCATCATCCTGGAGGTGGGATTATGTGCATCGTGTCTGTGCTACTAGTAAGCTGAGATACCGGCGAACAGAGCGTGCACTTTAGCAGCATTTCATCGGCTGGATCGCTACATTGCGATGGCCAAGGAACAGTGGCCAACTATCTTGATAAACTAGTCCTAGTGCATGTTCCTACGTCAAAGGCGGTGATCAGCGATGAAGCGTCAGCATGAGGAATATAAGCGTAGTTGTATATCGTTCCATGTATTCCGCAGAGGAAGTAGCAATCGCCCTTCTTTGGAATGACAATAATATAGAGGATGTCCCAAAGTCAAAGGACTCGAGCACGATGGTGGTGCCCTTGGAACAGGCCCTCCTACACATTTTCATCCTTGTCATGCAAAACCAGGAGGATTTCATCCGAGTGTTATGTGGCCCGGTAAGTACTGCGGACAGCGTATAAGGATTCACGATACTATGAGTGTTCCCGTAGGGAGACAGGACATGGTAGCAAGAGGGCTCTGGGAAAATGGAAATACGGCATTCTTGTTGGCTCAAGGTAATACGTCTGCTTGGATTTGATAGGATCAATGGTGGAAAGCAGGGTAATCTTTGGGGTGAACCGCTTAGTTTGGACGACCCATGGAATCGCCTGCTCGGTGAGAGAATGCGGTCGTTATGAAGGATTCAGGCCCAGGCTTCTGCCCCACTTGCTTTCTAGGTTGCTCGTGATTAAGCCCTACAGCCCAAAAGAGAAGCCCAGAGAATTGGGGCAGAATCACGACAGTCTCAACCTGCTCATGTACGGGGTATTGGAACAGACCAGCAGTGTACTAGAAAGATTCTCTCTCGCTACAGTCGTAATCAAGATGCGGAGGGTGATTGAGATAAAGTTTAGGGGCCGCAGGAGGGCCGGCCCACAACCTCAACCCATTTTCGGGAGCCAATCGGTTCCTCGGTTTTAGTGCAAAAACCGGAGATATTTTTACATAAGCTCATGTGGTCTGTCCATGACTGGCATAGTTTCTACAAGCTATCTGCTAGAGATATGGGACTGGCGATTGGATTGGGCTGATGAGGGGGTTGTGTCGGATTCAGAGAGAGTACAATCTCTACGGGAAAGCTTTATGCAGCACAGAAGACATAGCTTCTAGAACGATCTACAGACCAGATAGACAAGGAGCAGCTTGCCAGTTGACAGGAGAATTACTCTCCTGTGACAGGAACCAGGAAAGCATAACCACGATCGGGATTTAGCCTACCATTCTGTTGCCAGAATTCCGCGTGATATTCCAAATACCTCACCTGCCTGGACCGTACCTCGACCGTACCTTCTACGCAACAAAGTCCTTTTCCATCGGACACTGACGGGCGTCAAGTTTGGGCTTGTGGATCGTGTCTGGACCTTTGCCAATCCTTCATTTCTTCTCCGGGCCATAAATAGAACCTCCTTGATCTATTGTCCAGTGGGTCGTCGCTGGGATCTGCATTGCAGAACCGTACCAGCGTCTGTCTAAATTCGCGCATGGTGTTTGATTGGTCCGTCGGATGCTATTTGTATCCAGGGTTTCCTCAATGTGATAGTAGCGTTTAAATCTCGCGAGGTGGGTGGCGATCACGAGAACCTAGCTCGTGAGCCTTGGTAGCTGCAACAGTCCACATGGCTTGTCCTGGAGACTACGCTCAGTTTCCTATTGTATACTTTTCAATAGGGCCAAGACTTTTGATTATTGTCCCAAAAAGAAAGACAATCTTCAGCTGTGGTTGAGAGTACGTTCCTAGTGTCTGTGCCGCCGCATTGCAGAAATCATAATGAAGGCAGCCGCTGCAGGCAAGCACAGGAAAACACGCAGGAAACCAGCAATTGATTGGCATTCGAGAAGCGCGGGTACTAGACAATGGTGTAGAAGCAATAAAGTCTGGCCATTCCAACAACCTGATCTCGTTGCATACTTGGTTGTGATAATGCCGCAGCATTGGATAGTGGCCGCTCTACGTATCATGCCTGGTTTTGGTCCTTGGACATTGAAGCTCATACCGACCGCCCACCGCGATGCTTGGATGCAATAGGAAGAAAAAGCGTTTTGAAGCCTCTCTCGTCATTTGTAAGTTGTTCAGATGACATTGTCTTGGAAAGAGACGCGCTTTTTCTGATATCGTTCGTTCGGTAGGGACTGGGAAGAGACAAGCATCTTCTTGAGATCTTGCATCTCACGCTTGAGAACTTCGAAGTCAGTAGCAAGACTTTTCAGGGTTATTGAACGCCTGATGTCTTTGCTCTTTCTTACCCTGCATCCGTCTGTCAGCACATCTCTTGTTTTTAAAATCAGGTTGTAAAAAATTCAAATAAACATAAATGAGGCTGGATAGACAGCATGCAAGGAGTGTGTACTGACTTCATTCGCCCGGCAGATCTGAAATTACTTTGTTAGAAGATTGGAAGTCAAGGTGGC